TATCTATCAAAACGCCTGCCATTTGAAATAAATAAATTTAAACAAATTCGAAAGAGAGTAGGAATAGTCAATGGATTTTCTAACTGGGTATTGTCAGTTGGTGGTGATGGTGTTGGGTTCCATTAATACAAAGAAAAAATGTCCTTCCCTCGAGGGAGTTGAGACATTCACAGAGAAGTAACTGCTCTAGAAAAGAGCGTTCATTCTTAGCTTCAGGATGTTTTATTGTCTCGTTTATGTTAGTTTTCAATTAATACTTGAGGCGGAAAATATTTCCAATGTGGTATTTTTTACTATTTAGGCAAAGTGGTAGTATGCCTGAGACTCAGGCAAGAAACATCTTACGGTGGTTTAGGCTGGGAATGTACAGGATTCAGTGTTTTAAAGCTTGTCTGCTAGGCTGTTTGATTTCCCACGTCTAATATGAACACACACACAGCAATGTTCTGCCTATCTCTCACTAACATGCTCTTTTCACTAATGCCATCCTACGGAAAGTGTCATTTTGAGGAATGAAGTAAGCATTGTTTCTAGTGTTCTATTTATTTCCTGTTTGCTTTTCTTAAGATTTCTTTACGTTATCGCCTTTCCGTTGTGCTGCCGCCGTTTTTTGTTTAAATTTGTCTTTTCTGCAACGATTTCTCACCAACTTTTAGATACGAGGTTGCTTAAGGCTTACTACTCTTATATGCTATTTACTCCACACAAGCAGAGGTTTGAGAGTTTTTTTAATTTAAAGAATCCCTAGATGACAATGTACCTGATGACCTCTCAATCGATAAACTAGCAGGTCAAAACTCCTTCTACTCAATTCAAGCCCCCGATCTCTCCCTAAACTCCTGGCTTCAATGTTTACCCGAGTCGACATTCATCCAACCCTTCGAGCCCTGTCGTCTTAATCTGGCCATCCATCGATTGCGCAAACCATCTCAAGAATCGGGTCTATGGGCCGATCAAATACTGAGAGAGCCCAGTGTGAAGCCTCTCATCTTCCCCTACACTCATCTTCCTCCGCAGACCACGGCTTCTCAGATCTTGTCACAGAGCTTGATGAGGTCTAATATTCGACCGAATCTGGCGCAGAGTCTGCTGCAAGGTCCGGGAAGATCGAAGACCTTCCTTGGAATGGCTGCTAGCTCTCTTGTTTCGAGAAATGGGGTAATTTTCCGCGCTTTATCATCATTAGTTATCCTTGCTGGAAAACGTGTAATTTATAGTTTAGATACTGAAGGCTGTATGTTGGGCAATTTCAACAGAAATGTATAAAACGAATGTCAAGTAATTTTTTTCATATTTACAATTCAACTCTTAAAGTTTTTCTTTCAACGACAATTAAATTCCCGTTTTTAAATCGTGCAGTTCTTTCGGTTAATTGAAATTTCGGGCGGAAATGTGTATATTTTGGAATTCTAGGGATTTAGAATTAAATTTTTAAACTATATAGATGCATTACATCACTCCAGATTTACGATCCTCAACTTCGGTGTCCCAGTTGCAGATTGGAAGGGCGGAAGAGAACACCCGAGTCAATGAGGCTCTTTACTGAATCTAATAATGACCCTGAAATATACAAACACATCAATGATATAAGTACTAAAGGAAAGTATTTAGTAATTTTTCTCACATTAAATTAATATTTTGTTCTTGACACACTAATTTCTGGTCATCTTGACGTCGTCTAGATTTCTATTGCCAATTTTATTCCCCCTTTTGGTCATAATTTTATCAAAGTAGTTTTTTTCTAACACTTATATAAAACGGTGCTAATTTATAACCCATTTAAATAATCTATCTGCCCTATTATTCTTTGCTCTGTATTATTTTCTTATTATCCGCTGAGAGGCAAACAATTGTGGGAAGTATTTATGAAAATGATCCAACCCTAGGAAACAGCAATATCGTCAAGCATGGAAGGTAGCATTGATCATTCACCCTTCAAATTGAGTCGATTAGCCCTCCGAAAGTGAAAAGTTGAATAGAAGTAACCATGTCTATATATTACGAAAAATTGGAGTTGTCTTAACAGTCAGTTAATTTGATTGAAGCGTTATTTTCATTAAAAGTTCAATTAAAATCACTAGGTCGCCACCTATGCGTATACGGATATATGAACAACCCCGTCTCTTTTCCTCTATCCCATGCATATGCATTCTTTATTGCCTTGTCATTGACTGCTAGATTGCACAGCGCTTGAACAGATTCTCTATTTGTCGCCATTTTTATGATCGATTCACTCTTCCCATTCATTTTGTACCTTTCCCATCCAACTGTCACAATTGTGTGTACTGGGCTAGTTGCTATTTAAACACAAAGTTTGGCTTATGGCCAAAGTACAAATAGGATGAGACAGAGCCTACCACTATTCTGAAAATAATAGGTTGTTCGGGTTTCTTCATCATTCGATCAAATAACCGAACTACTACTTTTAATCATGGAAAACGGAGGTGGAAGTAAAACAGTTGAATAAGGGTCTTTAAATTCCGGACTCATCTACTAATTTTTCTTCACTTCCTAATATTCCAAAGTTCAAATTTCAAGAATTTGACTCTCCGATGGTTTTCCGAACTTATTGGCAATTCAATTAAGTTAAGCAGTCGGTTATGCTACTCCAATGCGTGTAACGTTATCACAAATAAACAAATTTATTGATACTGTATTATTCAAGTGTCATCAATTAATTAAGCTCATTAGATTCTACAATTCCCACAAATTCCTGCTTTCAAGGTAGGTTTTACTCCCGCCTCTTTGCAAATTAACACATTTTAACATTAATGTAAATTTAATGGATAACTATCAATAACTTGCTTGTTCTATTTTTCTTGGATGAAACTTATTCCCTTTCCTCATACAGAAACCCAACTTCTAGTCGGCACACGGCGATTGTCAAGCCTGTCTCCTTTCTATCTAATCGGCTTTAATGGCCAAGGCGTGGTTGGGTGAAATCTAGTTCTTTGTGGAGTTCTCTGAGCCTTTGTAAATAATAATCAAAACGTTATAAATACTGCATATGTTGCTGTTAACAAGGCAGAGCTCACTAGTTCACCCACTCTATCATAACTAATTATCATTTAATCAGGTGGCTAAATATTGAAGATAATTTCGGCATGAAATATTGTATTCAACCACAATTATTTTGGCGAGTATTTGCCAGCACAGTTAGTCACCCCGATCCGTTTTTACTACATTGCCCTACTTCTTATTTTCTCTTTACAACTTATCGTTCAAGAGCCACATGATGAGTCAGTCAATAGGCAGCGTTGGAATGGGAGGAAGCAGTTATCATCTGTTCGGTGCGGATGGCGGATTAACGCGACCTCGAACTGCTACAGGGGTTATGCAGCAGTCTATTGATCGCCTGTTTGCTGCTCGAGGTTCTGTGGCTCCGAGCTCCTCTGTTACAATACTGCCTACTCCCGGTGGTGTGGATGCTATGCTTCGGTCCATACCCGAGAGTAGTAGTGTTCGGACGGGGACGAGTGAACGCGCCAATAGTATGAATGTGTCAGCACTTACTGACCCAGATATATCGGGAACTGGTGAGCCAATTAATTCATTTGCCCGTTTTTTGCTTACAATCCACTAATCTAATTCTAAACGCTTAAGCTCGTTTTATTCTTCTGCTACAATGATAACCTTAGCATGTACAAGTTTGAAATAATTTTGTGTACATCCATTGACTGGAGTCGACTATTGAACTAAATAATGTTGATTAAGAGAATGGTGATAAAATGTGGGTTTTCTAATTAGAGGTTCTTGAATTAATCCTTATTTGTTACATTTTTATATGGGTTCGAGTAACATACAAATGACACATTGCGTTCACACAGTTAACCAAAATTGGCACTAATAACACAAGGAATTTTCAAGTATATAAGCCTGTATGGCTAGATTATGTAATTACTGGAAGCTGATGTTTACTATAATTATTTTGTTTGTTTTTAGATGCGAATGCTGGCTGTGGTCTCTTCCATGAATTCCAAAAACGTCAAAATGACATTTTGATTTCAACTACTGCAGAACACTCGGTGAGCAGCACCCTGTTTTCGTCTAAAAATCCTTTTAATCGGTGCCAAAGTTATTTATTTCTTTCTTTCAAATGGCAGGCGTTTTGATAGCTATCGTTAGCTCTTTAGCTGACTTCGGGCTTCACAGAGGGAAGGGTCATTAAAGTAGAAGAATGTCGAGGGGTGGGGTACAGAAGAGCGATTCACAGATGTAAAAGAGGCAGACAGACACAAAGGTAGAGAAAAAGGTAAGGTGAGTCCTGTGGAAGGGGTCGAATATGACAACCAGGGGGGTCGTGGTAGTTCGAAGTCAGAATTCAACTGCCGGTTTGTAGACTTTTTTGCCGTATGAGTATACGTTGCCCAGGGTGCACCACGTGGAGGTAAGTCTATCGCACACCCCATCGGTGCCAAAGAAATAAAATTTTTCTACAGGTGGTGTAAAATCAGCAAACTAAATTAATGAATAAAATTGAGTGCTTAATATAATACGCTGAGTTTTGGGTTTCTACGTGCGGATTGCTTACTTG